GAAAATCAGATCATTTTTCCTACTGTCAAAACTCAAAAGTATCTTTACATGATGAATAAAAATTAAAATATAAACAGATCATTATAAAACCAATGCATACATTGCTCAGCTTAAAATATAAAAATATATTTTTTATAATATTAGTTTGATATTTTAATAAATACAATTTAAATAAATACACAATATACGTTTAATATATGGTAAAAATTTTTTAATTGTGGTACTGACACAATTATTACTGCATAGAAGGAGGAAAGTAGTGGTGTGTGTGATGTACTACTTATATTAAAACGTACAACGTTTTAGTTATTTTTATTCGACATTTGTACACGATCGATCAACATCCAGGAAATAAAGACGAATGTTTCCTATTAATGTTGACGACAGAAATTTATTTATCAAACGTCATTAAAAACCGTCATCACTACTATCACTTTAACACGCACCGCCATCCGACGGCACATTTCACCTTTATGTTGTTCACTATAAATATGACCGTAAACTATCAAAACCGTCACAAACAAGAAGTTAACGCTACTTGTACTGTGTATAGTTATTATTATTCGTTTATGTCTTATTCGGAAAATGAAATGTCGAACGTCTGCCGTAGATGGCGCTACCGTGTACGTTACTTTAAACTTTTTATAACATTATAAAATCATGCGCCTACTTGGATGGTGTTCGGAACCATTCTCATTTCACTTATTTTTCCTCGACGCAAGCATTGCGTGTTGTATGAGAGCATACAAAAATCATATTATCAATAAAGGTACTCAGGAGCGGATTAGCTCAACAATTCTTACTGGGCAAACAAGTATTTTCAGGTCACATAAATTTATTTCAGACTATTTTTTTCGAATCTAATTTCATACCATTTATTGTCTTATTGGTAGATGTGTGCTAACCATTTTTTGATTAGGATAAGTATAAAACAATTTATTTGACCTACATATTGGTAGAAGCTTTTATCTATTTATTATCATATACATTTTATATTTTTCCTAGCTTCTTTATAAAACAGTATCTATCAATCATAAAAATGTTTGACCATTATATTAAGTATAATATGCAAAGTTGGAAATTAACAATTAACTAGTTAATATATTAATTGTTTTTTAACTTTTTAATTTAACTAGTTAGTTTATTTTCTAATCAACTTATGAACTTAAGGAGCTTAATTAACAGCTGAAATAACTTAGCTTTTTGTAGTTGATATTTTTTTTAAATAAAATTATGAATTTTAAATTGTATTATTTTAATCTTATATGACTTTCGATTGTTATATTTTATAAAAATAGTAATATTTATTAAATTATTGATTTGATATGTGTATAGTTTAAATTAATAGACCAGCCACGCTATCGGGCATTATTCTGGTTGTCCGGCAAACTTCTCTACCCTTTTAATAAAAAAGGTATTAATAATAAAATTCAATTTATAATATAAAAGGTACCCATTTAGTAATTTTAATAATTTCAATAATTTCAATAATAATCTATTTATTAAGGCTTAACGCTTAAATCAATCATTAAGCTACACAACTATCAACTAAAAATATTTAGTTTTATACAAAAATATCTACCTATAGGCTACAGTACTATAATGTATCAATGAATAATATACTAATACCAATGTAAATATTATATATTTACACATGGTGTAATAAAATTAATATCGGAGTTTCAAAGACCATTATTGTCAAAATTATAGTTTCAAATACAATTTTTAAAAATTGTGTATTATCTTAAGCGATTCAACGTGTTCTCAATAAGTGTTATGCTCAAAATTACTTTAATTATCATAATATCATACATAAGTTATAAGCTTGAAGCTTCACATTAGATCATTTAGATCGATGTATTTTTGTTTATTTCAAGCCTTCTTTGGTTTTCTAATACATTTATAGGAAATGACTATTTAAAATGCAACGATGATTGGTGATAACCTTCGTTTTTTAACATCAAAATTCTTATATTATGATGATTGTGACTTTCCTATTCACATTCAATGCTCTTCATCACTAAAGGCAATTTTCGGACAGAAATATTTATTTACCTCTATGGCTTTAAGAACCGTGACTGTGAACAGTGTGAACTCTAACTGTCGTATCTTATAAATTATAATCTCTTCGTTGAAGCACTTGAACTAACTGCAGACTTAACGGTTCCATAACCAATTATAATAGTACTTGATTACTATCCACACATAACAATTTGTCATTGTCACTTCGAGCTTCTCAGTTACCAGGATACCTGAAATTACTGAATTACTTCATTTTTAGGGGAGTTATGTGAAACTCAATGAAGGGATTAGGGGTGTACCTATATTAAACACTAATATTTCAGAATGTGGGAGAATTGAAAACAATGACCACCACTGTGTTTATACCGTCTCATACTCTCATATGTTAGAAAGGGTTTGCGGTGAAATGGAATGGAAACCGAATATCGGTTGCATGGATATTGTGAGTATTATTCATGGAGTACCTACCTAAATATTAAGCAACCTTACATAGTTTGAGAAACAAGTAAATACATGAATAAATATAAATTTGAATCAATAGTTTTATCAACAAAGCTCTTTGAAACTATAATATTAATTGTGTCACATTCTGCAGTATATTATAATATCATTATTTAAAAAATGTATTTCTAGTTTTTAAATAGGTAACATTATAATTACGCCTAATGTTTAAATAGTTTAAATTAAGACATATCGATTAAATAATGTATCACCAGTTTGTTTTCAAGGGGCTTGTATTAATAACAAGCAATTTTAATAACATTTCAAGGAAGATTTTGATAAATAAACTTAAAATATATTTATAACACCAATAATTTAAAGGCTTAAATTAACAAAATTTCAAAAATTATTAATTGAAATTCAGAAATATTATTTTTATTAAATAAATCCAAACGTTGATATATGGCAAATAATTCGTGTTTGTTTTTATTAGTGTTAGGAGCTTTGCAAGTCACTACATAATAATATTATGTAATATCTTTTACATTTAGCAGTTAGCCAGGTCGGTGTGTTAGTCGTAAATATAATTACTATCAGATAGTAAAAGTTAATGAGACTTTAATGCTATTATGCATGATAATGTGATATGTACATGCAAAAAATTATTATGTTACCTATCATTAAAAATATTTTATTTTTTTGTCAAGACTCAAATAGACTATTCCAGGTACCTATGATATGTCACAATGCTTATTCAGAAATAAAAAAAATATTTGATTTCTCTATAATCTATTAATACCTATGTATTATGTATGCATATATAAGTACTTATATAACTATGTGAGTGGATGACCAATGAACCTAAGCAAATTTTAGATTCTAAGCGAAGCAATAAGTAAGTGTGTGCGTATACACGATAAATAGTCGAAAAAATATTTCGATTTTCAACTGTGAGAGAGGTTTTGGATAGAAAATTAGATCTAGTTTGTACTTTAAAAATTTCATAATAAAATATTCCAAGTATTTTTTAAAATAAACCAGGTAAAAGTAAAACAAACAAAAAAATTAATAAAAAACTGGAACTTTTATACAAATCCAATTTTCAATTAAATCTTTAGTCCAAAATTTTACGTTCGTATCTTCTGCACTGTCTTAATAGAAAAACTAATTGTATTAAAATATTTTTATGCCAACATTTAGCATGTTATTAATAAGAATTTTCCCAACTATCACCGAGATTTGCACGAGTCTTATTGATGAGTAAAAACCGTTTACCGGATTCGCGTGTCTTGCCTGCATCGTTGGTAATTAATATAATAATAATATTAAATAGATTATAGAATATTCTAATAAATTGGAAGAGACATAATTATTTGTTTTACGTATTAAAACTGTATATTGAATAATGATTTATTCGTTTAGGATAGTAAAATGTTATTAGTGTAACATAAGTGTTACTTAAATGTAACTTACACTTAGATTTTTTTTAAAAATGACAGTTTTTTTATACACAAAAAATAGGTACTGTAATTTTTTTTTTTACAGTAAATAATAAATAATTAATACATTTCTGAAACTTATTTAAGCAATGAGATTGGAATAAGTTTACAAAGAATAAAGATTATATACCTATTTTTGAGTTTTTATAACATAACTACATAAACAAAAATGTCACCAATAATGTACATGTGAATTTCGGTGATAGTCGTGCGAATTCATGCTAAGTACCTACTGTCCAACAACTTTTGCTATTTAAAATGTAAAATTTGACATGCATATGTCGTCAATAGTCATGAAAATGTACTATGATAATTACGTTATAAATGCTTTATATATATATAAAAAAAAAAAAATCTAAAATAATGAGACTTACCACAAAATTTGTTTGATGCAGGTAACTTGAAAACAAATCATCGTGAATACTTGACATTTTCACCAAACGTGTATATTCGCGTAGTCATTTTTGTATGTAACTTTGATAATTTTTACATAAATAAATTATGAATAAATCCGTTGGTAGTTTAAAATGTATATTCGTTGAAATCGTATGCTTGTGTAATCGTGTAGTGTTTTCATCAATATCATTATTATTTGTAATCTATTATTATACACCTGAATATCAGATTGTATTTAAGTGATCGTGGTATGATGATTTCAATAGACACTTATACCTGAAATAACTTCTATTTCGCGAGAGTAATGATGTCGCCCCACTCATTGCTTCTTATGGAATAAACCGAAGACGAATATAGGCTATCGCGTTAATTGTTTGAATATCACAGTTTTTGTATTTCATTCGCCGTTTATTTTTCGCGCCCAACTGTACTACGTAAGCAACAGTGAACATGGTATGATCATTAAAATCCGGATTCGGTTCAAGTTCATGCAAACGTCATGCGCTATGTAATGATATAACCGCCAAAAAGTTACACGATTATACCGTGTTGTTTATAATATCAAACATAATCGGTTTATCTATTCGTTCAATTAATAATATTAGGTTAGCTAGCTTTACAGTATTTCTAGTTTCTACTATTTCTATTTTCTACTATTTCTACCAAAATTTCGTATTTTTGTACGAATAAAATCGTACGTGCGATATTGTGTGAATACTGCAAACATTACCTACCTATCTATTTAATTAATAATTAGTCGTGATCGCGGTACCTACGTCGCTGTTAGTCGTTACCATACCTAATATTATTTTGAATTTTAAACGTGATAATCGGCCTGTCGAACAACTCGGTGATAATGTTTGTCGGTGATTTGGTAAAAGAGTTTTACGACGTTGTTTCAAAAAATGTAAGTAGATCTGGCGTAAATCGTTCGTTTAATTAATTCGTCCGAATTAAATGTCTATCATACTTCTCATGCACTATCGTATATTTAATTATTTTTTTGAAACGTGCGATGATTTAATTCTCTTACTTACTGATTTATTTATGTAGTGCTCAAAGTTTTATTACAAAAAATCAAAGGCATTTAGATTTTATTTTGGATCCACAAGCATAAGAATCGCCCAGGGCCGAATTAAAGTTTTTGTTGTCCTTTGGGCACAAAAAAGAAAACTCGAACATTTTTTTGTTGGCCTAGGCAGTAATCTAAATAACTTAAGTTTTAATTATTGTAATACAAGTCTAAATCTACTTGTATTACATGAGCTCTAAATGAATAATACTAGGTATCTGTGTCCCTGTGGGTAGGTATATTCCAGTAGTTTATATGTAGCATATATAGTTTCAATTCTTAAAGATTAAAATAAATATAATATGAAACAATATATTATAATAACTAGGAGGTTTAAAATCTGTCGGTGTTTGTCTTGTTTTAATTTTATCAGTATTTCTATTATAGGAATTAAAAAAAAAAGTTAATCTACCTATACCATATGATTATAAATTTCAATGTTTTAAACATATACTAATAGTATAACTTTAAAATTATTTGTGTTAAATATTATGTTTGAATTTAATTACCTATTTGATCATGTAATAATAACTTCACTTTTTACATATTGTGCATTCATAGAAACATTATAACTCAGTATTTTGTGGATATTTTAAAATTTGGTTTATAAAACATGAAACTTGATCATTGGACGGACTGACAATTACTCTAATTAATAATTTTTTATTTAACAGATTCTGCATAACAGTAAAGTTAACTCATTTTTTTTTTTTTAATATCAACTTAAGATTGGTCAACTTTCTTAAAGTTATTGTGATCATTGATTAACCTATAGAGCTATTTAATTTTTTTTTTTTAATTTATGATATTCTTAGTTTTAAATACTATGATGATATAATCATAATTCATCTATCTGAGTTTAATTATTATTAGGTAATTTTCTTGAATTTGAATTTTTCTTGTAATTTTCTTAACTTATAAAATTTAATTATGTAAATAATTTAAAAAAAATAATATTATTTGTTATCAAGAAGTCTGGTAAAAAATTCAAATATTCAATGTTTATAATATTTTTCAACAATTTATTTAATTTTGTGTATAGCAATATTTAGGAAATTTTAAATTTAGAATTCAAGTAAATACATCAAAATTTCTTAAAAAAAATAGGTTCTGTTTTTCATATGCAGAATTTATGAGTTAAAAAATGATGAAATAAAGTTATGGTTCAGTAGCATAGTTTCATGTACTGTACACCAGTTTCAAAAATATGTAGATATTTAGCATTGAGTTATAGTATTTTTTGTTTTCATAGATACACGGTATATTACTAAACTATTAATGGTAATATGTGATAATAATTATATACCTTGTTTATATACATCCATTAATTCGAATTAACTTGATCCGTATTGAATTAGTTTGTATTAGGGTACAAGTATATGTCTGCACGTCTAATACCATGTTAGTATAATACACTTCCACCAAATCAGTTTACGTTGTAACACTTACATGCACAGTTTAAACCGATTTACCTTAATTCGAATTAATAATAAATTATTTTATTATCTTTACATCACAATCCTGATTCAGTTGTTGTAATGTATACTAGTGTGATCCGTTTACGTGCATTTTGTACATCTGTAGTTATTTCCAATGTGCATTTCAAATGTGAATTAACTAAACCGTTTTAGGTAAACCGAATTGATATTAAAACGAATTAACAGCCGTTTACATGTATTTAACTCCAGGAGTTAACAAATTCAACTTGAGTTAAATCAGTTTTAGCTGGTACATGTAAACGTAGTAATTAATTACTACAATTTATTATTTTTTTTAGGTATATTTCTTTGTTGAATCAATATAAATTATATTTATATGAGATATGTGTTAGATTTGCCTACGTAATTATAAAAATTATTCTCCATTTTTCATGTCTTGATTGATGTTATTTCTTAATAACAATTTGAAACAATTATATTTTTATAAATATGAAATACATGTTTCATATGTAAAAAATATTGTAATAGTACATATTAAATAGTTGTTTTCATTAGATTTACTAATTAGGCATATAAATACAATTAGGTATCTTTAAATTACAGTTAAAAAAAATGTATTGTGAATTTAATAAGAAAGTATACTATCTACTATTACAAAACAAATTAAAAACTTAAAATATAACAACCAAAGTTCCTGAAATCTCTTGTAATTTTGGTATGTCTATCTTTAAAATTGTAATATTGGCTAGGTTATTGTTTAATTGTTTTTATTTATAATGTTTAGAAAATTTTAATTTTGGTAAATTATGATGTGGATGCAATTTGCGCTGCAAAAATATTTCAATACATATTACGTTTTGATAATGTTGTTTATGTACTTGTGCCTGTAAAAACTACTACTGAATTGAAAAAAGCTTACAAGGAACAAAAAGCGGAAGTAAATGCTTTAAATTGATTTTACTTCATTAACTTACTTAACAAGAATTAAAAAAATTTAATCTTAAATTATTTTCCAATTTACAGATAAAGTTTATAATGTTAATTAACTGTGGTGGTTCATTAGATATAATAGATATTTTAGAACCAGAGGAAGATATAATTTTTTTTATTACTGATAGTCATAGACCTACAGATATCTGCAATGTATACAGTAGTTCACAAGTAAATATACTACTTTCTGTATAATAAAAAAGTTTAATAATCATATTTTTATATATCAGATAAGAATTCTCACTACTCCTGAGGAAGATGAAAAAATACCCGAGTTTGATGATATATTTATTGATGAAGAGGTAAAATAAAAATGTATTTTTGGAAACTTAAAGCGTATAGGTAATATCTACTTTTTTATTTATATAATTCTAGTCATCTGAAGAAGATTCTAATTCTGATGATCTAAATGATGAGTCAAATAATGAAACTGTTGAGAAACGTCAAAATAAAAGGAGAATGCTTCAACAAAAAGCATTTATGAAAAGAAAAGAAAGAAAAAATTGGGAAGAAAAAAGAAAAAAGCTTTTATTTGATTACTCTCAATTTTCATACTATGGAAGATCGGTTTGTTAATTTATTTTATAAAAAGGTTTAACTAATATTTTATTTATTATTTTATTTTTGTTTTTAGAGTGCTATATTGATGTATGATCTTGCTTGGAAATTACATAGAGAATCTGTTGATGTATTGTGGTAAGCTTAATTTAGAGGTGGTGGGTTAGTAGAGAAATAATATTTTAATTATTCATTTTTTTTTCCAATTATTTAATTATAATTAATTGTCTGATTATTAATTTAAATATTTAAAGTAAAAAATACATTTTCAGGTGGGGTATTATTGGTGTAACTGAGCAATTCATTTTTGGTAAAACTGAAAACATGCGTTACTTAAAAGAAGTTGAGTTAATTGGTGATCATATTGGTCGTATTTGCGAATTTTCTATTAATCATAACGATATGAAATCCATATCACAGACTCCATCTTCAAACGATACTTCAAATTTAAGGATTGAATCAGAAAAAGAGTGAGAAATACTTACTGAACTATAAATATACTTGAATATAGAAACTAAAATATTGATAGTATAATTTTTAGTTTATTATTAGCCTTATACAGACATTGGACAATTGAATCAAGCCTTCGATATTCTATGTTTACAGCTGTATCTTTAAAACTTTGGACTGTAAAAGGAGAGAAAAGATTGAAACAAATTTTAGCTGAGATGGGGTAATTTTAATTATAATTGGTACCTTTAGCAGAATAAATTTTTTTTAAATAAATCATTAGCTATATTAATTATAGTTATCCAGTTAAAAAAAATGTATGTTATTAATAATTAAAGGTTACCTTTATCGGAAAGTCGTCAAATGTACCATTCTATGGATTTAAATTTACGTAAACAATTTTTTGGGATGATGGAAAAAATGTCTAACACTCATAATTTGTTACACTTGATTTATCCTTCTTTTATATTACACCAAGGTTATAAAACTCGGTATCAGAGTGCTGATTATGTTTATTCAATGATTGCTACTTTGGAAAGTAAAGTAAGTTTTGAAAAAATATCACTAATATTGTTATATATACAATGATGTAGTTAAAACAATTTTCAGATTAGTGGAAATTCATCTACAGAGTGTTTTTATAATACAATGGATTCATTGTCTCGGTAAGTATTTTTAATATATAAAATTATGATTTTTATAATTTATTAAACTTTTATTTAATCGTGATATATTTTTATAGATCCAACAAAAACTTATTAGATGAAGGAATAGAAAGAGCCAAATGGATATTGACTAATATGTTTAGACATATACAAGCAGCATTAGATATGAGACAAGTGATATTAGCAGGTCCATTTTATTACCTAATTGTCCAAGAGGTAATAAATTTGCTATAAATAAGTAACTTCAGTAACATACCTTCAAGGTTCAACTTTATTTCAATAGTTTTAAATAAAATAATTTTATTAATTGTTGCAGGGTACATTAAATTCACAGCATTATTCCAATCCACAACTTTTAACTATGTTAGCTTCATTTGCATTGAGGGCTCAAATTGCATCATCTTATAAAAATAAAAATAATCGTTTACCATTAATTGCTTCAGCAGTTCTTAATTCAGACAAAGATACTTGTATTGTAGTTGGTATTCCTCCTATAACAGAATCAATGCCTAGAAGGTAAGATTTGATAATTTTATATTTTAGTTTTGAATTAAGATCAGTAATAAATGACGAGTTTAACCTAAAAAATATAAAATTTATGTTATTAAAAAAAAAAATCTAGTAATTATTTTATTTTTATCATCTAATAATAATTTTATTTTGTATATTATTCAATTTTTAGTGTTATTTTGCACTTATTTTAAATGCTATTTCAATATAACTTCCAAGCCGTAGCGATAACTAATCTGGTATTCTAATCTAGAATTATTCCAAACATTTAGTTGAGTGTTAAACCATTTTAAAGCATAAAATTTGATTTTGTAAGAAATTAGTGGTCTCTGAAATTATTACCTACTAATTACAGCATTAATGATTTTTTTATAATCATAAATTTAAATTTAAACATTCAATTATTTCTTGACAAACTAAAAATGAATATAATTTCTTTTTAACGTATGTTTAAATATTTAAAATTGTCTATTTTATAATTATTTTAATATTTCAGTTTTTTTGGAAAAGCATTTGAGCAAGTAGCCAATAAAACAAATATAAATATTTCACTAGATTACTTCGATTCATCTATTATTACAATGCAAATTAAAGATCGGCCAACATTTTTTGATGCATTAACAGCATTACTTAGTTGACAATTTATATTTATAAAATTGTAATTAAATAACTATTAAGGCAAATATCATGTTTAATATTGTCATTTTTCTTTTAGAAATTTTGTATTTTAATTAATCAAATTTTAAGAAAGATGCATGAATAATGTATTTTTATAAACTAACTAGTTATAAGAAATATCATAATGTTTTAAAAAATTAATTTTTAACTGTCATGTAAGTGTTTAATGTTATTATGAAAAATATAGTTGCCATAAATTGAATATTTTTAAAATACATTTCTAAGTTATAAGTTTTTATTGCTACTATTTATTTAATTGAACATTTTTATTAAAATAATTAAATACTAGATCATAAAGAATAAAGATTTTTAAACTTGTATTTTAATATTATGTAACAAACAAGTTGCTTTTGATAGTAAATTGAACTTAAATTAACAAAATTAGTGTATTTTGTATTTATGACTTTTGAAAGAAATCTTGGTTATTGGAGCTTGTAAATTAATTTTCAAGAAGTTGAGAATATATGTTACTCAAAATACTCTATAATTTAATGGTGTAAAAAAATGTAAGAAATTTAAAGGAGTTTTATTTAGTGGCGGAATAGACAATAGTACTGTTATATATTATTAAGATTCAAACTAAATTCTCAAAATAAATATAAGTCTGCAATTGTAAATAAAAACTATTCAAGTTTGTATTTATTTCAAAAATGTAGTTAAGATAATACTTTTATAATTTGATATTCAAGTTACTTTAATAATAACAGAAAATGTTTGTATTTGAGATATTCATTTATCATGATCATTTTTATTTTTAATAAAATATAACTGAAAATTTGAAAAAATTTAATTACAAACCATTAAAAAGAATTTAAACATATGTTATATTTATAAAGAGGGGGTTTTCACAGTCATTTCACTCGTAGCAGTTATTTCATGTTTGTATCTTGTATTCAAATATAATTAAATAGTTTATAGTTTAGTATTTTATTAGTTGTGTAAACATTATACATGCAAAACAAATAATTAATATAAACTGTTTTAAATAAATTAAACAAGGACTATTTGAACTTTGATATATTCTGAATCACATATATTAAATAAAAACTCTAATTATATGCTAAATAATATGTGAAACAAGTTAATTTTTTATCTAAAAGGTTTTTATATGCATTAAATTTGCAATCTTTATACATTTTATTTTCACATTCTTAAATATTTTTCATTATTTTTGTACAATAAAACCACCAGTAATATTACAAAATAAATTAATCCAATTTCTATAATACTGAAAGCCTGGATTTGATAAATTTATTTAAAATTTAAATAAGTTCTAAACTTTAGCTTTATTTAATATTTAAATTAGCTAAATTTTCAGCAAAATTAACCCTATAGACTGAAAAATTGAATAGCACATAATATGTATGTCCATATTATGGACATGATAATATTACGATAATTAAAATAACAATACATTACTTTAAAGTGTTGAAGTATATAAAATCAAAAGAATCAAAAGCACTTGACATTTACAAACATATTTTTTTTTCAAATTGCCTTTTTTGCTTCTTTTTATATGAATTGAGGGCCATCAATAGGGAAGTTGACATCAACACATCATTTAGATTATGTTGTATTTATTGTTTTTTAAATTCAATTACACTGTATATTTAATGATACATTTTTAATTACACTAAACATTTTTTATTTTTATCAAATTTTCTTTTCAACTGTAATGTATGTTAAAAAATATCTTAGAACTTACATACCTAATAATCTTTACTGGTTATATCATACTTATTTGTATGTCATAACTTCAAGTTAGGTCAAAAAGATTATACTTAAAGATTTATTTTTTGGTACTGCATATCTAAGAAATTTAAGGAAATATTATTGTAAAGCAATGAAGAAAATTAAGAATTTAAAGATTTCTATTTTAAACATTAGTTTTATTAAAAATTGAAGATTTTAATAAAAATCTATGTATAAATGTAAACCACAGAGAAAATGAAAACGAGAGCGAAATTTCTACTTAAAAAGATATGTATTAAGTCTAAAGTTTTATCAAATAGTGTTTGTGAAGTACATGAATTTAACTTTATGACAGCTTTGAATTAATGCATCCTTCTCATAACATTCTAATCTTAAATTTTTCACAAAAGTAATCTTACGTAAACATAATGCTGCAGGTACTAACGAGCTATACTCTAAACTATAAATGCAAATAAATAATATACATTGTAGTTTGTTATAAAAGCAAGTTACAATGAAATTAACTTATTTTTAATCAAAGTTGATTATTATGGACATGTGCTCTATAGAGATATAGAAGTTGTGTTTATAAAATAATTTGTCATAACTATTCCATAAAAAAAAAAAAAATCGATTGAAAATAATTCATCGGTAACATTTTTCTTCTGCTTATTTTTGTACTAAAATTAGTAAGTAATTAGTTGGGTACATAAAAATTGTAACACTATTATCTATTATAAATAAACAAAAATTGTATTTTTTAATCTTTAAAATTATTTGTAAAACTATAGATGTCAATAATTTTCATACCAGCAGTATACATTTTAAATTATTATATATATATATAATAGTACAGTTCTTTTCTGCAATTATGCAATTGCATGTCAAGCCATTTGTTTAAAAACATAATACAATTAACTAATATTAAGTTCAACATGAACTGGTCAGAGAGAAAGTACATTTTCATTTAAAAGCAAAATTTAAACTTTTAAAAGAACTTGAGAATGTTTTTAAAAAGAAAGTGGATTACTTTCAGAGCTAAAGCAATATGTACTTAAAAGCTGAAGTTAGGACTGCAAATACTAGCATACTCAATTCTACCATCACAGCAATGATTGACTTACCTATCTTCAATTTGACGGTTTCTGTTATTTTTCAAATTGTATTTTATTACTCACCAAATAAGTAAATAGATTGATAAAATAGGTAATGAAGATAACATTCAAACTTTATTTTAGCTATAATAGAGCTTTACACATGAAATAATCAGTCAAAATATAGACATAAATATAGTGTAGAATACATTATTTATATATTTACATGTCATTACAACTTTTAATATTTTATTATAATAGTTATTATTTATTTATCATTATCATTTTAAATATCAATAATAAATTAATGAATAATATTTGAATTATGAATGTATTTTAAATTTAAATACGTCTAAAAACATGATAGATATAAATAAGTTATACTATATTTTGAAAAAATTTAAAATCATATTAACTGTGTTCAAATAAAACTTGAGCCCCCATGATGTTGTACGAGTCTTTAGTAATTTTGGAAACCCAAATCAGGCGTACATTTCAATCCTTGGCTCTTAAATATGATGTTAAATATTTAAATATTTTAACTAAATTTGTAGCTTACACAATGATTTAAAAATTGAAAAGTATGAATTTGTAATGAATGTAATTCTGGATGATTAAGCAATAATAGATTAGTCCCATATAATATCAAAATTACCTTACAAATAGGTACCATATTTTCTTAAAAAAAAAAAAACACAAACTAGCAACTGTATATATTTTTCAATATTTGCAGTAAGGTATCCTAATATTTATAAAGTTTAATTGTTTTGAGTTGACTACTTTAATTATGATCTTTTACAAATCAAAAATTCAATAAATAACTAAATAAATCAGTATTCATTGCCCAGACGTAATATTATTATAAAAATGATCGCCTTAAATTATTTTTCTACTTTCTATGATATCAAAAATGTTTGAATGTTGAATCAATTATTTCATAAAACATTAAACTGTTGCTTTCACCATAATTTATTAATGTGTTAACTAGCATTGTTTAGTTCAATGTTCATAAGAAAAAAATGTGTTATCATTCTAATTTTGAGAAAGACACTTACTTAGGTATATCAAATAGAATTTAAACAAACAAAATTCCTTTACTCATAATGTTACTGTAATGTAATTAAAACATTTTATCTACAATTTGATATGGGGATATCAACAAATTCTTATTATTAAGTAAAATAAAAATTTTTTTTTTAATGTTTATACCCTGCACATGTTACAATATTATAAGTTCCCATGCGGAACTCATATTGAAACATATAAAAAATAATTAATTATATTTTAGTTTCTTCACAAAAACAACATTTTATTTTATCTATCAATAAAAATAGAATGGTATCATTGCTAATTAAATAAAAATTGAATTATTTCATTTTAATTTTATCGAATATTTTAATAATCGTGTAAAAACTATATATAAATAATTATTGTTTAAACATTTGCCCAATTATATGTATTATAATGGATTACATGATTTTTTAAATTTTTCATTTGAAAGAAACTTTTATGTAATTAACAACAATTTTGACATTGCAAAAGTGTTGACTTAAAAGGAAAATAGCAAGAAAACATGTATACATAAATATAATTATAATTTTATCAAATAAAACAAACCAAAAACATAAGAATGTATACATGAAAATTCAACTACGAATAAGATAACATAATAGTTATAAAATAAACAAAAATTATAAAGTTATCTACTTTTATCAACAGCATTTCAAGGAATGGTTTTTATATATATTAAAATATTTTTACACGTTATGGACAATAATTTTTTTTTTTTTTGATAAAAGCTATATTAGTAAGACAAAATATATGTGCTAGCTGTACATTTACACCATGTGTAATTTAGCAAAATTTAAAATTTTTATTATCAAAATAACTTTGGTAATTAAATTTAGTTTTTAGAAAAAAATTTATGTGTTCCCTGTAACTTAATGGTACATTTTTAAAAAATTATTAAATTATTTAAATAACATTAAAAATAAAATCGACTACTATATTACTTATACTTATTATATAGTTATAAAAAATAAAAATTTAATTCCTTCAATAGTATTCAATAAAAACTGAATAAAGGAACAAAACCAGATAATTCTTCATTCATAATTTTTAAACACTAACACTGAATATTTTGAACTTGAATAGATATTTTTATCTTCATTTTAGTTCGTATAATGAAGATCCAGAAAAAAATTAAAATTCAATAATAATTGTTGATTTCAGTCATATTATTAAGTACAAAACAAAAAACTTTAACACCCTTACAGTATATAATGAATCCCATCACCGTAACAGACGTAACCGTTCATAGTTCCCCATAGTTGAAAATAAATACCGATGTTTTAATTTAAATAATTTGTACTATTTTTCCAAGGTATGAGTTTCATCTTGTTTGGTTGGGATATCCAATAATTTAGTGGCCTCGGCTTTCTCATCATTACTATCTGAAGATGGATCAATGATGCTGTCTATAATTTCCTCATTGTTATCTTTGGTTTCAGTTTTTGGTAATTCATTAATATTTGTGGAATCTCCTACAGCATAGTTTTTGGGTTTTTCAGGTTCACACTGTTTTGGATTTTCTAGATGAAGTTTGTTTGTAGGGGTTTCTTCTTCATCAGTATAGTAACTGTGAGATTCTCCGGGTTTCAATAGACGCCCAACATAATCATATTTTTCTAAATAACATAAAATAAATAGAATATTATAATTAATAAATACAAAATATACAGAAATATTGTGATAAGAAAGTTCTGTGGAATAGTTCAAGTTCAAGATATTAAATATTAATTAGTACAAAGTCTACTTCATAGTTTTTATAATTAATTAGATCAGGCTCATCTAATTCAAATAAAAGTAAAATATTGTTTATTTAATAAAGTTAATTGTTTTTAGAAAAGCTATAACATAATATTGATGTTACCACAATAGAAACAAAATTTATGAATTATAAAATATTTGTTATAACAAAAATTTTAACATATAGTACTAAATATTTAATTTAGAGCATAGTTACTTATTGCATGTGGGTTTTATATAATTACAAAAATAAAGAGTGAATGTGCCAAAAATATATTTTTTTTAAAAACATAAAATATATTAGAATAATAAAATGATGAACAAATAGAATATATTTAATCTACGGTGTAATTTTTTGAATAGAAATAATTTGATTTAGCAACCCAGACACGTACAAAATGTTATTAAAATGTTTCACATATTCATTTGCTTTTAAAATATTTGAAACATCAATTATTGAAAGATTAACAACTAAATTTTTCTAATCATGAATTGTAAAAATAATTTTGAAGACATTACATAACTGTACAAGAATCATGCAGTACATTAATTTTAAATGTTGATTCATAGCATGATTTTTCTACGATTCTTAGTATAAATTACAAATTAATGGAAACACATTCAACAATTTATTTTTTCTATAACTGGTAAATAAATTTAAGACATTTAAATTTTCTTCTCCAGTATAAATAAAATATACAACAATTGTCATGGATTAAATATACTTTATTTTGTTAATATTAGTACAATAATGTATTACTTATTATTTTAATTTGGATTTAATTCACTAGTGGCATATTAAGGGAAATAAATATTTAATCATCTCTTGTCTCTATATACTACTAGTGACCCAAATAAAAATTAAAATAATGAGCTATAAATGACTGCATTGTCATAGCGTATTTACAATATATAATAAAATTATTAATCTTTGCTAATGTCTAAAAAGATTAACCTATCAACAAACAAATCAAAAATATTCATAATCATGAATAAAAGATATAGTAAAAACTCAGTTCACGTTCAAGTTTATTTCTTGAAAATTAAATGCATAAACGTTTAGTTCACACTATATAAAAATATAAAAATATGGGCCAGTGAGTACTACTTTAACATACAGTAGAAATTGAATAGGTCATTGTGATGGATATGTTAAATTTTAATTCTATGATATATTATTGTAACTGAAAAATGATTCTAAGTAGCATTGCATTAAAAAATGTATTATTTTAAATAGTAAAATTGTTGATTTGTTAAATTTAAAAAAATATATATATATATATATATATATATAGTACCAACACATTTATTACCTTAATATAATTTAGTTTATGATGATTTTAGAAAATAGTGACAATAATAATAATCATAAATAAAATATGATTAATTTGTTAGATAAAGATTTATGACATGAAATAGTAATAAATTATGAATATGAGTGTATGGGTAATTACATAAGATGACATGTAAAAAATAAAGTATACACATTAATGATAATGATAATAAAAAACTTTTACTTTAAATGATATACATAATAAAAAAATCAGTTTCTCTGTTGTTAAATTTAATATTTTGATATAAGAAGTTTTAATAAATTATAATTCCATACATAGAGAAAAGCTCAATACATAAATTAAATTTCGAGTGTTACTATACTAAGTACATTAATAATTATTGTTGAGTGTTTAAATGGGCCGTTAAGTAAACATTTTTTATTTTATTTTTAAGCCAATACATAATAAATGATATATCTACAAACTATGTAATAAAATATATAAATGTGTTATATATTACATCAAATATTACCACAATAATACTGAATAGGAGTAGTCTTTAAAGAATAATAATAATATATATATATATATATGTATGTATATTAATATTACAAATGTAAATAATATTTACATTTGTAAACTTTAATTAATAATCCTGTATTTATTTTATTTTATATACAAAATTATCATAAAATGAATAAGTTATCAGTATGACCCATAATGACCTATATTTTTTCATTAAAGCGTTATACCTCGTGCCTTTTTAACATATCAATTGAAAAGTTTTACAGAATTACAAATGGTTAATCAAAGTGAAGAGAAATAATTCTGTGATGTACTACTAAAATATAATTATATATAGGTACATATGATATGTATAATATGCTCATATAATTTATTTACATCTAACATTTTCATTTTTTTTTTTAATCCCAACAACTTAGATAATCAATTTAATAACAAAAAAATGATTAAGATTTAAATTAGATTATGAAATGTTAAAAAAATGTAACTAAACTAAGTTTTAAACTATCAAAGCAATGTTAATTTAATTTATTAAATTAGATACATTTACAGTGTTTTGGAGACACAAGACTAGGATTTGGGTAGGTTTTGAATGCATATAAATTCTAGACTTTGTAGGAAATTAACAAAATAATTTTATTTAAATAAAGAAATTATGTATTTCATAATACTGTATGCCAATAATTTTGAATATAATTATAGAAATTGTGTTGTTTTGGAAAAAAATTGTTTTAAGGTATCTGGTTTAAAAATCATACAATTAAAAATATACTTTTAAATAAGTTCAAATATTGCATCAGTGCCATTGATGAAAATGCAAATTATGCATACAATTTAAAACAAACACTCAGTAATGTACAAATACATTAATTATTTAAGCATGGTATAATATTTATATAATTATTTACAATTAATTAATTAATACTATAGTTTTTATTTATAGTTTAATAATTCAATAGATTTCATAATATAAGTGAACACTTTAAAATCAAAACCATAAGAATATTAATTTAAGTAGGTAACTAATACTACAGTGACCTATTTATTTTTTAGTACCTATTTTGTATTGATAAATTATTACAATAAAATTACATGAAGTTAATAAAATGTATTTAATACAAATCATAATCATTTTATTTTAACTACATATGTATTTATGATTATCATTATTATTCACAATTTTGATATAATTTATCCTCAAATTTATGTAAAATGGTAGCAATTATAAAATGTTAAACTTACCCATAAACTGAGTTTCCCATTCCAACATAGATTCAATCTCTAAAGAATTCAAATCACTTAGGTCATCGTATTCATCTTTACCACTAACTGAAAATGTGGCTAATCCACGAGAAGCATCATGTCCACCAAATGTTGAGTAAACGCCACCTGTGATAGAATAGTTAAGTACTTAATTGTTTGTTATAAATGAACTGGATTTAAGACCATGTAATGCGAGAACAATCATACCAGGTCCATAAAAATGTTTTCCTTTAGTGACATCAAACACTTTGCCATTGATTGCTACCAAAATACGTCCATCACCTTTGGTACCGTCAAATTCACGTAGCTCTTGGATGGTAAAATCTCTCTTTTTCATTTTTGGCAATACCACATCTTCTTCTTCCTCGACTTGGGGCTCATTGCGTTTCATGAATATTTTCATTAACAGAAATGTAATAATGGCCACCAGGCTGCCATTTAATAACACTTTAAGCCAGAAGCTGACACTGTAAACATCGTACAATAATTCATCCACGCCATCCGGCACTCCATTGCCGACGTTAGTTGACATTATAGTAGTAAAATAGAAAAAGCACTGTAATATAAAATTACCCTATTTTTCAGAAACGTAAAAATGGACCACGAAATAAAACTGCAAAAAATAAATTAATTTGACGCAATAGCCACTACAATTAATTATTATCGCGTGTCTGCACTATAATCATAAGTAGAAAAAAAAACGATAGGCCGGCTATCGTAACACGGTGACGAGAATAGTTACAACTGTGCGAGCGAACAATAATAACGTCGAACGATTCCCACTGGTTTTGTCGCTTCGTACGAACAGTGAACGCCGTTTAGCGGATGAAAGTTAATATTAAAATAAGTAGGTATATTTCAATAGTTTGAAAAGTGACGAGTGTTATTGCTGACTACTATTTACTTAAACGAGATAATAACGTCCCGAACATGGATTATCATGGATTCATTTTTTTTTCTACAACGGAATAGAATATTGTGAAACAGAATGTAATATGCATGTATGCCTTATTTCCGTGACTCGTGGAGGTGGAAATTATCTCATAATAATAATTATTATTATTATCATAGTAATAATAACGATGACGTCATGACGGCATTATTTATTAATGATATCGATATAACCGTGATGCCGGGCTAATAGGTGTACCTTATAATATTACTATTATTATGTATGAATTATAAATTACAATACGTAACGTCGGTCGAGTGGGCACACTCAGTACCTATAAAAAAGTTGGATATCGCCGGGAAAAAAATTATAATAATTATTATGCGATTAATTAATAATTCATAATCAGCGAATGGAGAGAAAACGATCGCCTTAAATATGACTAAATTATTTATTAAATCATTATTTAAATTCTAGTCATAGCCTATATCGCCGATTGACGTGTTTAGTGACGGCTTTAGACTCTTTCCGAATATTTTCGATTTGCCTTAATATCGTTATCATTATAATATGTACATATATTATAGTGTATCGTATATGATTTGAATATATGAGAATTTGTCATAAACTATATTAATAATATGTATCATTGCTGGCGACGTCGTGGTGACGAGGACATGGCCCTATGGGCGATGAGTAGACAATAATACAATAATATCATTATCTTATAAGATGGCCTCGACGTATGTACGTCGGATTCAACATTCACGCCTTCAAAACCGGCGGGACGAAACGGTGAGCATCAGTGGGACGCGACGCCGAATATTCGAAAATACGTTACGCAGCTGCTGTTCGAATGCCGTCCCGGCCGCCGCCATATCGTTCGCCGTCCGGTACAAACGCAGGTACGTAGCGCTCTCGGTGGCGTCCGTTGGCAATTCGTCGTTATCCGTTTTGTTTGAATATTGTTCATTATCCAACTATCCAGACATTTTCTCATATCGCGTGTTTTAATTTCGTCGTCGTCTGGAGGATTGTGTTTATTGTCCACTGGCGGAATTTTGACGATGATTACTGACACGGATGCTCTCTCCGTTACAGAGGTAAGATTTACACACACACACATACAGTCTAAAGGTCGCACGATATATTGTTTTCGGGCAAGTTAAATTGTCTGCTACTTAAGGCACTTTTACGGACTCAGATTCCTAAAATTTTATACTATCACGATTAGAGTTACATCATAAGATTATTGACAACAAAAACATGCATTGTAATAATCGAAATAGTTGTTAATTTTTAGAATCTTATTCAAAGATGTTTATCGGAATAGAAAAACCTTGGACAACCTAACCGATGTAACAATACTTAAAGGAGTGTTAGTCCATGTGTCTTAACTTAAAATGTTGTTTGACTACTCTCTAGCCCATCTGTTATAAAATTTTGATAGAAAACAATGATCACATTGCAAACGAAGCCCAGTTAAAACTGTATTTATTAATAATTGCTAATATTTTGTTAAAAACTTGTCAATTTTAATATGTGGATTAAGATGTTTGCTATTTTGAAGTCATAAAAAAATCCATCATCATCTGAAAATTTAGATTGTTCTATTTCGTTCTTTTAATAGGTTTCTATTATTTTTTTTCCTAGAATTATATTTGAATAATTGTTTATTAAATTTCAAACATGAGTTTTTTTAAAAATGTTATCCACAAATTTAGCATAGTAAATACTTTATTATATGTTAAAATTGTCTTAGTTTAAAAATCCAAATAGTTTGGGTGTTAGGCTTTAGTTAACTCTATTTAAAAAATCAATTTGTAGTGTAAGATGTATTTTATTTTTATGATATTTAATTTATTAATTGTATTAAAAACTTATACAAACCATTTGGTAGGCATAGGTTAAATCACTATATTTTAATTGATGTGAATTGATTTAATTGAAAGATGCTTATGAAAAAGTAGGAGACTATGCCTTCAGCTCATTCCATTTGGATGTTTTAACTAAAATACTTTTTATATCTCAATATTCTTAACTATTTTTTTTTTTGTTTATTATTAAGTTTCTATTTTTAAAAGTCAATGAAAAATCTTTTTCATATAATTTAAGATGTGTGTAATCTATATTCTGCATATGTTTTTAAGGTAAAACCAAAATTTTTGTATGCTTAGTATTATTTAACATTTTTTTGTATTGCTATAGGTGATAAATTTTATTAGTTTATTTTTATACATTTAATATCTTTAAATATTTGTTAATGAATTATAATAATTTAGGTGTTTAATATTTTAACATTTCTTGAATTTTTTTATAATTCATATCAATATTTAGTTAACTCATTAGATATATTATTTTCTGATTTATTTGAAATTAAAATCTTTGAATCATTTAAAAATAACTATAGTTTAATTAAAAATATGATTTCACGGTTAGTTAATCAAAGAATAGTATTTATGGCATTTTTACCATTGAAAATTCTAATAAATAGGGGAGAGAAGTTCATGACAAAATTAGTTTTGTCATGTTTGTTGTTAGTTATTAATTTTTATTCCTCGCAATTATATATTTAATGCATTCAATAGTATTCATTATTAATAACCAGAGCTTGCATTTGAAAAAAAAATGTTTTACGTTATTTACAAATAAAACGTTATACAAATTTTGAATTTATCATTATTCAGAATTTAAACGTTATTCAACTTTTGCGCTTATTATTATTCAGAATTAAAATGTTGATATATTTTATAAATTATAACTATTAAATAATTGGAAGTTAATTATTTCATTTAATGATATACTATATTTAATGTTGTGCGTTATGTTCTGTTTTGTGTTATTTAGATATTTATGTTTATTGTTTTCCGTTATAATTACATTTCAAATCTCAATCTTTTTTGGTCAAATATTATGTTATAATCATAACGTTTGCAAGCCCTGTTAATAACTGTATTCTTATGTAATTTAATCTTAATTTAATATTGTTTATAGAAAAACATGAATACTGTGGATACATCTGATGCACTAGATTTGACTAAAGAAAATATTAGACCACTAAGACAAGGTAGAAAACCTATTCAATTAGAAACTGCTCTACAAGCACAATCTAATATGGAAATTCAACAAAAGTTAAATAAAGAAAAAGAGTAAGTTGAATAAAAGAAAAAAAATTTACTAAATAGGTATTTAAAAAAATTGATTGTATTACATAAATATTTAAGGATCTTTTACTCTTTTATATTCTAATTATTTTTAAAAAATTCACAGTTATGTATTTAGTATTACTGATGTTAAAAAAAAAAAAGTAACATATCTAGTTTATAAAAATCAGTATTTGCAGTAGAAAATCAAATCTGTAGCATAAATTTATCTAAGCTAATTTTATTATCTGTAATCTTCTACACTTATCTTCAAAATATGAAACAAAAACTTAAAGCTCCACTCAAAAAATAATTTCTGATTTTGTTATTAATAAATAGTTAATTTATTTAAATTAACTCACCTCTTAAGTTATCTATTTTTCATTCCATTATGTATATTTTATTTTTTGGAATTTTTCTTTTGCTACAATCTTTTGTTAAAACTGATAATTAAAAACAACTGATTCATTTAACATTAGTTTAAGTACTTTTAAAAACCTCTTGTAAATTGGATAACACTTGGTTTGAATTTATCCAAACTATTTAGGTTTTATTGTATAGTTTTAGAACATAAAAATGATCAAACTTTAATATTTTTTTATCTGAAAATATAGTTTTTATAACAATATAATTTTGTAACTAGGAAATATGAACATGCTATTCGTACATATGAAGGTGATGATCCTTTAGCTCCATATTTTGAGTATATGAAGTGGTTGGAACAAATATACTTGAAACATGGACCAGAGAGTAATTTAATGCCTCTTATTGAAGAAACTGTACAGAAATTTAAAAATGATGTAAAATACAAACAAGATCCGAGATTCATTACAATTTTGATTAATTTTGTAAATATTCAATTAATTTCATAAAATATTGTTAGACATGTATTAATAAAATTGTGGTAATTAAAATGTTATTAAATATTTTAGATTGAAAACCAATCGAATGCTATTGAGTTATATCAAACTGTTTACAACCAAGGTATTGGTACAATGTGTGCTTTGTTCTATCGTGCGTGGGCAGAGTTATTGGATAGATACAATGATTTTAAACGTGTTGATCAAATATTTTTGTTGGGAATTAAAGCTAAGGCTGAACCAGTTGAAGAACTTGAACAAGCTCATCTGTAAGCTACAGTTATTTCATTTTAATTAAAAATAAATTTTATATTTTGCAATTATTTTATAGCCAATTTCAATTAAGCGTGGCTAGGCGAATGCTTAATGGACAAATCACAAATGATGACAGTAAGAACCAAGAACCTGAGAAAAGACATGCATTTAATGTTTTAAAAAAATCTGAAACACATAGTGGTGTCAGATATGGTTTTGGTGGAGTTATTGGAAAAGTACCCCAATTGAATAACGTCAATGGAAAAAACACTGTTCTTAGAATTTTTGAGGTAATTTTTGTATAAAATTCAAAAGTAACAAATTTATGATGACTTGTGATTAAATATAGGATAATGATGAAAATGGATTACTTGGAATCGCAACTAATAATTGTGATCTTGCTCAAAAAGGTCTAAACAAAGAAAATACAACTAAACCTGGACCTTGGACCAAACCTAAAAAGACTCGATCAAAAGTTCCTAAACCTGTATCAACTATTGACTTTGAAGGTCAGTTACATCATAAGTAATAAATATTAAATAAAAAGATAAGTTTTATCAGGTTGATAATTCTATGTTTAAAAAATGGACATAATATGGTATAAATGCATTTTATCGTAATAATTAAGTACCTATTAATAATATATTGATAAATAATTATTTAATTAATTTACCATGTTATTTGAAGTAAAATCAATAATATTAATAGCTAAGGTTAGGTTAAAAAAATCGTAACACATGGTAATAAAATAGATCGTTTCAGTTCAGAATCATTTTCTGTATACAATGATTTATCATCGAATTTAAATTTTATACACCCATGATAGTAACCCACTTGACATCTAATGTACAGCAGAGAGGTACTACTTACCTGTCTTTTTTGTTTTTAAGATTACTATGAAAATAAATAATAATTTTAATTTGTTCAATATTTTTAATTTCAGTACACCAGGACAATAATTTAGAATGTGTGAAAAAATTACCCGGTATTACAGTTCCAAATGCTTTACGTAGTATAAAAGGAAATACTAATCTTTCCTGTCCAGTTGCTGTGTTTGAACCTCCAGATCCTACTAAAAGACCAATGTATTGTAAAGAGAAAGTGAGTTTAAGTTTTAAATCAAAAGTATTTCACTTAAATATTTATTTTTTTTTATCTTTCGCGTTTAATTATGAAAATTTACAAAAATCTGTTAAAAATTATTTTATAGCAATTTATGTTAAAAAATTTATAATATTATGAAAATATTTTGCTTGTATGCATTAGCATTTTTACTAAATATTTATTATTTTAAAATCTTAAACTAGTCTAGAGCTTTTATCAAAAAAGCGTATATTGAATGATAAATAAAATATAGTATAAAAAGGTTTTTATTGTGTTTAGCATGATAACTTTGATATAGCATTTTATTTATTATTTAATTGACCAAATATTATCAGATAAAATGTAAACTATTGTGAATATTATTGCTAATGACTTATTCATTCTCTATTTCTCTTTTTAATCGTATGTTCGTTATATTTGTCATTTTTTTTTATCTAATACTAAGCATTAAACTAGTATAATGCCATTTATCTGGTTAAATATGCATTAATTATTAAATTTATGATAAAATATTGTATGCTTTTTGATTAAGTATTAAAAAATACATTCTTATATTTGTGTTATATTTTATATAATATTATATAATATAAAATAATATAAAATATATACACATTAGGTGTATGCGGCTGGTAGAGACGTGCAACTTGAAGAAATTAGATACGAGATCTACTTAAAACAAGAAAAAGAAAAAAGTTAGTATTTAAAACTTATATAATATTTTAGTACTTATGGAGATAAATTAATTAATTCATATTGTAAATAAAATCAATGTAGAATTATTAAAAGAACAATCACATTCATTTGATTCAAAAAAATCCCAACCAAAGGAGAAAATAACAAAACCTCTGAAAAAAGTTATTTTGGCAGAAGATAATAATGAATTTAAGGTAATTAATAATTTACTACATTTTGTTTTTTTCTACATTATAGTTTAAATTTATATACACACACATATATATATATATATATTTGTTTAATTATACCATAGTATTTGTATATGTTTATTTTTCATGAATGTAAAATATAACATATTTTGATATTAATTCAGTCTTGGCTGTTATGACTTATGAATGTTTTTTATTTTCTGTAAAAACTAAACAAAATTTTTGTTTTAGATTTATATCATATTTAATTTGATTTATTTCATATTTAAATTTAAATTGTCTATTATTTAGGTTCCACTTCCACTACGAAACAACGAACCTGATTCTTTAAGTCAATCTGTTACTGTTAACACAAGAGTTGCAATTGATTTAGTTCAACAAATGTGGAATAGTCCATGTGCAGGTAAAATATTTACATTATGATTGTAAAGTCATTTTTGAACTAACTATTTTTGTATAGATAAAGATGAAGAGTCTGAATTAATTTCAAAAAATAGAAAACCAATTCCGTTTGATGCCTTTGAAGAAGTTGATAATAATATCAAATCTGGTCCTTCTGATTTCATGGTTTATGAAGATAACAAAATACCAATGGATAACAAAGCTTTTGAAATACAAAAAAAAGATGTCAGAAATCAAGGAGATTTCTATGTTTATACAGATGACAATGATCAAGGAAAAATTCTTAAAGAACCCACTGTATTTGTAGATTTCAATGATGAAAATCAAGTATTCACTGATAAAAGTGATGAAAACAATGGAAAAGGTTCTAAAATACCAGATGTATATATTGATAACGATGAAAATGTGTTTCGCAAAAAAAGTTCTAAAACGAATCAATTCATGGGTCAAAAAGGAAGTAGTAGTATCAAAAATGGTTCAAAAATAGATCTCAAAAATGAAAAAATACAACAAAAAGAGCTTAGAAATTTAGGAGACTTTTATGTTTACACAGATGATGATGATCTAGAAACTCTTAAAAAACCTGTATCTGTAAAAGACAATGATGAAAATCATGTAAAAAATAATGAGATTCAAGTATATATTGATGAAAATGATGAAAATAATGGAAACGGTTTTAAAATACCAGATGTATATGTCGATAATGATGAAAATTTGTTCAATAAAAAGAGTTCTAAAATGAATCAATTTATGGGTCAAAATGGAAGTAGTAGTATCAAAAATGGTTCTAAAATAGAATCGAAAAATGATATTAACAGTAAACAACCTATTAAAAATCAAAATTATCAAGTTTATGAAGATGAAAGTTATGATACCGTAAATACTGAAAAAAAAGAAGACAAAACTAAAGACAATTCTATTTATCCAAGTAATGAAGGCAAGTCTCCTATCAAAAAAATTCAAAATGTAAGTTAAATTTTTATTTTTTAGTTCTAATTATGTAATTATGCTTTATCTGTAACTATTTTTTGAAATAGTATTTAAGAAAATGATTTCTTAAAGTTATTATCAAGGCTCAACATTTTTAATCATTACTATATTAGTTTGTAAAACAGTTTATGCCAAAAGAAATTCAATACCAATTATTTCACATTGTTTAATTTCTTATAATTATTTTGCTAGTTATTCAAAAAAAAATACATACATTTTAATCACCCATGATTTATTAAACATTTTAACCTCTTGTTAAAGATTGATAAATTTAGGTCAATTTTAGATATTTTGTAAGCATTCTAGACTTTTAATGAAAATAATTTAGTTTACATACATCAGTAAATATATGTTAATTTTTAGTACTAAAATTATTCTAGATTCATTAACTTAAATTTATTCTAAATATTTTTAAATTACAACAAAATAACTAAAAATTTGTTAAGGAAAATTGTTTATTGCCATTTGGAAAGCATACAAAAACTTATTATATGCTGTAGCAAAATATTTTTAAAAAAAATACTAAATTATTTCGAGTCTCAATCAATAATTATATATGTATTAAACTATTGTAATATTAAACAGAATAAAATATTTTGAAAATTATGTATATAAATAAATATTTATAATAATTGCAACATTAAATGTATGTTTTTCAAATATTGTAATAATTTTTCAGATTGAAGTAAATGATGATGACATAACTTGCTCAACAAAAGCATTTGCTTTTCTTTTGACTAGTTCAACACCATTGGCCCCAGGAAGAACCAAAACCAATTCTGTCATTGAAAATGAACAAAAAGTTAAAACGTATGTAAAAATCACATAATGTATTATTTACAAAATTAAATTGTTTACTTTTGTCCCTATACCAAATAGTCAAATTGGTGAACCAAATAAAAACAAAGAAACTGAAGAATTTCAATTGGGAAAAAATTTGAGTATGATATTGGAAGCGTCTAAAGAACGTAATAGTAGTACTTCATCTGGAATTATTTCTTCATCGGTTACAAAAGTAGAACAACAATCTTCAATTGATTTTGGTATGATAGTTTGTGTACAATTTTAAAATTTTATTTCTATTTTTGTTTTATCAAACTAAAGTAATATTTACAGTTAATAGCTCTTAAAAAATGTATAGCTAAAAATAAATATTATTTTATCTTGGTGTTGAGTTAAAATAATAATGATGATATAAAATAATTTTTTCATACCATATATTTGATCTTAAAATTGTTAAAAAGTAAATGTTTGTTTTCTTAATATCAGAAAATAATAATTTAAAGAAATAATAGCTGATTGTTTTTTTTTTTTTTTTGATCTAGGTGATTCAATTAATCCTTTTGACGATGATTTAATGACCAAATTATTACAAAGAGTAATTAAATTTCCTAATGAACATCACAAATCTGGTTATGTAGAACAGGAATCTGATTTACCAATTATGCGATCAGAATTCAAATTGGGTTTGTACAATTTGTATAATTACATATGAAAAAACTTTGGAAAGTGCCTTACTAATGAATGGCTCTTTCCATTTAACTAATTATGTATAACTTGTAAAGATAAAGGAAAATTAAGAAATTAATATTAAAAATAATGTTCATTTCATTTAGGTCAGAATAAAATGACACTTCTTAGTGAAATTGGTAAAGGATCATATGCACGAGTAGTGAAAGTTAAACCAGAAGGTGAAAATGCTGTAGAGAGAGCACTTAAAATTCAAAAACCGTCATGTACTTGGGAATGGTATATAAGTAAAGAAATTAAGCATCGCCTTAAAGATTCCGAGAAAGTAAATTATATTTTTTTATACATAATATATATTTTGTATACAATTATGTGGGGGTTTTTTTTAATAATACTGAGTTATTTTATTTTTATTTTTAAGGTATCTTATTTTATTAATATGGATCAGATGTTTGTTTTCAAAAATGGATCAATTATTTCTATGGAATTTGCTACTCATGGAACATTATTAACTGTAATTTCTGCGTATAAAGTAGCTATGGTGAGTTCAAAAAATTATAAGCATCATAATCTAAATGAGTTATTTTGTTAAACTATAACTTTGATAACCTCAAACATTAAATTTGCTTATAATTCTTCATGATCCTATATAATAATAATAATAATAACTTTTGTATGATTTACAGAATCGCTCCATTCCTATTACTGTTGGTGCATTGCTCATTTTACAAGTAACATCAGCATTAAAATATCTTCATCAATGTCAAATCATTCATGGAGATTTAAAACCAGATAATGTTATTATTAAAACATTGTAAGTTTCATCAATGTGCCTTATAGAATTAGTTAGATTTATTATAGAAAAATTATTATTTTTTTTTTTTTAGACCTAACCAATGTGATCAACCTTGTGTGCAGTTAATTGATTTTGGTCGTAGTATTGATATGACTTTATTCCCTCCTGATACTACTTTTACATACACAGTGAAAACTGCTGATTTTATTTGTCATGAAATGAGAGAAAAATTGCCTTGGACATACCAGGTAATCATTTTTTTGTAATTTTTCTTTTTATTTTGTTATAAAATAAAATATATGTATTTTATTATAGACTGATTATTTTGGATTGGCTGGAATTATTTACATGGTTCTCATGTCAGACTACATGAAAACTCAAAAGATACGTAAATTATGGGTGCCATTGAAACCATTTCCTAGGTATAAATTATATTATATTGTCTATTAAATTTGTTTCTCAATAATTTTCTATTTAAATTATTATATTATTGTGTTAATAATAACCATTTTAATGTATTTGATATTTTTATAAAAAAAAAAAATCATCGATTTGCATTTAATTTAATTGGTATTTTAATTGTTTAGATACATAGACAAAGAACTTTGGGGTACTATGCTGAGCATGTTGTTGAATATAGAATCATGCAAGAAGCTACCTAACTTGGATGAAATTATACGGAAATTGAACAAATATTTGTCAATTCAACAAAAAGTGGTATTGAAACATAACTTTACTAGTTTAAGAAATGCATTAAAAAAGAATTAATGTTTTATTTTTTACATTTATTTTAATGATTTTTTTTTTTTATATATTTGGTTTATTTACTGTACTTTTTTAAGAACCTTGTAATTTGTACTAATTTTTATGTAGTATGATTTTTATATTCTTTTGAGTATTCTTTTCATTATATTTCATTTTTTTTTTAATATTTATTTACTTTTTATTTATTACCATAATAAAAAATTTAAAATTATAATAATTATTGGTAAAATACAATGAATAAAATATGTGATGACAGATAAGAACATTATAACATTATAATAAAAAATCAAATCAAAGGATTCTCTTTTCTATGACCTATTTATGAAAGTAGAATCCACATTAGCAGTCAACTTAAAGTAATTGAGACAAAATTAGTGTGTTATTAGTTATTACTATATTAAGTTGAAGGTGTAATAAAGCAGATGATAGAGGAGTGAGAAAAAGGGACTGGAAACAATCAAGATATTTGAGCGTAGGGGAGTTAATTTTGCTTGGAAGATTTAAACGTGATTGACATTGTGTTTGATAATGGATAAATTTTAATAAAACGGTTCTAAACAACTTTTATCTGTAAATTTTAAGTTAAGATGTTATTTAAAAATTTAATAAATCAAAAAACTTTTAGGTAATGTATAAGATATGACAATTAAAGGCATGACAAATCTTGAAGACAATTATAGATTTCTGGTATTGAAAATTATTTTTAACGATTTTTCAGTACTTTATTAAAAAATGTGTATAAATTGATAATAAATATGCAAAACATGATTATCGACATTTTTTAAAATGCACTTAAGTATCTGATATGAGTTCATAATGGATTGTAATTGCACGGCGTTGTAGATAGGCAATTAAAGATGCACCATCGACTTGGTGTTTGTGAATCAAAAAAAAAAAAAAAAAAAATAAATAAATAAATAAATGTGATTAAAAAATTTAATTCTTAAACTATTATTTACGATGTTCAGTGTTTTGTCAAATCATTTATTCTTTTTATTATTTGTGTGTCGATAAAAAAAAAATAATATATTATGGGCAAAGGAACAAAAGAGAATAATTATTATATAAATAATATTTTGATATTAAATGTTTGTTTACATTTCAACGCTGTCAAAGGCTCAATTTTACATATTTTATAATTGTGATGTATCAAATTACAGTTTAGTACTATTTGCAGGTAAGTATTAGGTATACTTAATAGGTAGGTATTTCATAAAAAAAATGTATTTGTTCTCAGTTTTTAATAAACACTTATAAGTTATAAGTAATAGTCCATAATGTTAAACAATTAAGCCTATGAGAAATGAGCTTCAAAAATATTGAAGATAAGAACTTAAACATGTTTATTAGGTTTAGACATCGGTGATCTAAAGTCTTTCAGTATAAAACAAGTACCTACTCGAAGTAGTTATTGTTTTGCAGACTTGCAGTAGATACACCATCACGAGTAAACTTGAGAAATAATGATTTGAATATCTGAATAAACGATTTTTTAATTTCATAGCTGTTTTTGAACGCCCAAAAACTTGATAAAAAATATAATTCTTACGCTATGTTATGATTTTTATACTGACGATAAAATAATGGACGCCATGACAAATAGTTTGCTGGAGAATGAAGTCGTCTAGTCGAGAGTATAGTGGAGCAATAGTAGAGAAGATCAAGATTTAAATTTTCACCAAAGGTTATTTTTTTACAAATATCTGAATAGAAAACAATAATTTGTTATTTTTTGACAAAATGTATACCTAATTTGTATCAGACGACCAAAGTAAAAAATATACGAGAAAACGCTAGTTTACCAATAATTATTCCATGGACATGAATAAATAATAATTAAGCTATATAGTGTTGGTTACAAGAACTAATTTATCGTTATCCCACTCATGTTATCACAATGGATAAATAATATTATGCGTATTATAATGAGAGTATAAGACTGAACCGTGTTAAAACTTGAAAATAGTAGAAAACCAATTAATCGAATTTTATTTTTTATTATTTTAAAATTTTTATCTACAGTAAAGTCTTAATGGTTTCCAATTTAAATGCCCAAATTGTCGCAAACACAGTAAAAAAAGTTATGATTACTGTTTGAACTTGTAGAAAGTTAAAGTGTGACCAACAAAATTATGCCAAATGTATTATTATAGGCAGGGGCGTGCCGAAGAGGTGGTTTTGGGGGTTCAAACCACCTCCAAATTGACTGGCTTATTTTTTTCAACTTAATGATATTTACAAAATAAAAAATATACATTAACATAATATTATGGGAAAATCCGATAATATAATAATTAATAAAAAAATAATACAATATTTGACGATCTTTGGGTTTTATTCTCTTTAGTACATTTCTGCGTACTTTATATTCGTAGACTTTATTTTATAGGTAACTAATTTATTAATTTTAATTTTATTTTTGACTAAACAAATTTTAATTAAATTTTTTTTTATTAATACAGTATATACTTACATTTATTTGAATGATATATTGTTCTAAGTATTGAAGTTTAACTTTAAAACTTTAACCCATCATTTTAAAATATTTTCCGTAAATTTAAATAAAAAATGTTTCACTTGGTTAAAAAACTTGAAAATTCAATAGTACCTCATAAGTTATTATTACTGGATTTAAAATTGAGCCATTTTTCACAAATATATTTGAGATTCGGATGTAACATAATAATTTTCTATCAAATAATTTTAGTTTTTTTGTTGTTACTAAAAAAATATAAATATGGAAACTTGAAACGTTCAACTCATTTTTGTTAAATTTTTCTTATAGATAATTGTTTTTTTTTTTCAATAATATTAATTGAATTTAATTAATAGAAATTGATAGTCTTGCAGGTCAAAAATATCTATCTTGAATTTTTTTTTAGAATAATTTTAAATACTTGATTTTATATTTTTTTTAATGGATCTATAGTTGTTTCTATGTAAAGATTAATTCATTATAGATTATACCTATTCTTAATAAACTACTTTAGTTTTAAGATACTACACCTACTCGTGCATTGTAGTCTGTAAATACTTTTAAACTGTATACGAGTATATAATTTCAATCACAACAGTATATGTAAAATATTGTGGCCTATTTATTTTTTCTATTGTTAAGTAGGTACATATTTTCACATGTCTCTGACCGAGTGATAAAATATCTACCCTTCATGGTTTACAAATGGTTCGTTTTGCTTAAATTATACCTACTAAGTACAACAGTCATATCTATCAAACACATTTTCTGTGCGTTACTTATTAGGTGGAAATAATCGTAATTGGTGGGTTATTATCACTTTTAACATGTACTTATTGTTATTAGCATATTATAACGTACTCGTATAGTTATTTTTGATGTTTTTTTTTTTTTTTTTTATGGGTCTGGATAAATTAAACATAAAAAGAAATCCGCCGTACGACTATACGTTTTATATGATTTTATGAGAAATAATGTGATATACACTGTATATCTCGTTATAACAAGTGACAATGTTATGGGTTTGTTTGGTACTGTTCTACATAATATATTTATTTTATGAAAATCGTACCTACGTTTTAAAAAATATATTAACAGGATCAGTTCAGTATCAAAGCGTAGGTATCTACGTGTAATAGGTATGTGTAACTCAGCCAGGTTAAACACCTGGCAATGTCGGGAAAATAAACTGTATGATCATTAAATCTTTTAAAGATTAAATGTATAATTTAAAATTGAACATAAATAAAAACAAAATTAATTAAATTTAACATATTTTATGAATTCTAAGTATTAAAGTAATGTAGTATACCTAGTGGCTAGTCGGTATTTTATGTTTAATTAAATACAATTTAACTGTGAAGAAACTTGATAACTATATTAACTAAATATCTGTAGTAAAAATAATTCATATTTTATGATAAGTTATACAAGATTAATTTTATAAGTTATTAAATATTTTTTATAGGTACTTAGAGATAATGTCAAATTAAATTAATAAGTATTGAACGAAATTTATGGGTTTTTTTTTTTATAAAAGATATAATCCTTATAAACGTTCTAATCGTCGGTTGATTAAAATGTTTTTATTTGGCCATGAGATCAAATCTTAGTAACTGATAGCTTTAATATTAAAACTTTTTAAGGAGTTAATATTTTTATTCATAATAATTTTATTTAAAACAAATTTATATATAAACGAGATTTTCTCGATTGTGAAATCAATATTTGAAATGATTTAATCAAACCATCGATTTATTATTTATTTAATAAAGGTAATTGAAAACTGAGGGATTAACAGCTTGATGTGGAACTTGTAGGAGTCAAGTCGAATATAGGTATATATGATGATTTAGAAATAAAGGTACAAATTATACGGGTAACTTTTTTAAAATAAATTATGGATGGTAATATTCGAGTGTAACTCAAATCTATTAGTTTCATACTATTATAAAAACAAAAGGTTAAAATATAATGAATAATGATAAACTTAGTTTTTAAACTATTTATAGGTCACCCATTATGTTCCCATATACTTGATTTAAAATATAAAAATTAAGATTTGTAGGCTAAACAGAATTGTATGATATTTTATTTTACAATTGCATTAATACAAAGTGGACTCATATTTTGTTTTTATTTTTGAGAACTGAGTGTAACATATTATAATACATAAAATATACGATTTCGATAAATATTTAAGTGACTAAAAATAATTAGATTTTTGTTTTTCGATATCATTTTAAGTTCTAATTTTTTTTTTATTTACTATTAGTATACTTAAAGGCAGAGCTTGATTTAAGCGATTCTCTATTCGGTGGATATTGCCATAGTCATGTAGCCTGAAGAGTTAAGGGATCTGCAGTCCCATCCTCTTCCTTGAGAAAAATCTTGGTCATACCATTTATTATCCGCCATGGAATTATAGAAATTCACAAAATCGCATTTCATAAACTTCAATCATTATATTTTTATAAGATATTTATGGATACGTCACCTTGGCCGATCCCACGTTCTGAAGTTGTGGTCGTGATGCTTATATTTAACAATCAAAATGATGCAGTACATCTAAAATTTTATACATTTTAAGTTTGTGGTGGTCTTGTTCTGGGTGCATGCGTTTATTGTATTCTATGTACTTGTTTGAAATAAATTAAATCTAAAAGTGTTTTTAAAAGTTCAAAAAACGATTAGCTGCAATATAAATCTTTTTTTTTTTAATATTATGATAATACGTTGTTCCTAATATATTAATAAAATATACCTATTTGTTGAGACTTTAACACAGAATAGTCTCATACACTCATATACATAGTATTTATACAGGTATACTCTCATTATGTTTTCAATAATGCAAATAATAAGTTAGGACTCGTTGTAATAATATAAATATTGAAGTATTAAACATAGTTCCTGTGGCATAACACTTAAATTAATTTCCGTTTAAGTTCATTGATTTCTCCCGTTAAATTATTATCGATATATAACATTATAATGTCATAATAAATTCAAAATGAAATTCTCTCCGGTGGACAATTTTGATCGTGTCGCCAATATTAGTATTGTATAGTACCTATGTACATTGTACAACCGCTCTATACAGTAGTGCAGTGAACTTTATTTTCAAAGGCTATAGTTATATTCCTATACTATCCACCTGTTTCCTGCTTATCCAAAGTCCGATAAAGGTATTTACTGTCATATTTGTTAATATCTGTTTTGGAAATATGCTAAAATACCAATTTAAACTAAATTAATATACATTGGTAATAAATTCATAGCCTCTCGATTATACTCCTTTCGCTGAGCCACTGATTCTATAACGCTCTAATTATATGCACACATACTATGTACAGTGAAAAGGAGTTCAAGATAAGATTGAGATGAATAAATAAATAAATAAATAAACATTTTAATAGTATTATGCAATTAAAGAAATAAACTATTATTTATTAATACATTTTACGTTTTATTTCACGTCACGTAAAAAAAAAAAAAATAATATTATAATACTATATTATATGTTATACTGTTTAAACATTTTACTGCACACATATTATCATTTATAATAGATACATTTTATATCTATAGTTATATATATATATATGTATTATAATATGCGCATAAAATAACAGACAATATATCTCTAAAACTATATATAATAGGCAGATACACCTACTTTATACTTATATATAATGTTTATTGTAGTAATAAAATAAATTTATATATATATATATGTTATGTTTATATAATATTATTGGGCGTCTTCTGCCGTAGGCAGTTCATCGAAAAACGGATATGAAGTCGAACCACCTCAATAGCAACAAGAAAAATATGACAACTATGAGCAATGACACTAGATACAGGATTTGAGTGGACACAGGATTTTCGACGTTGATGACTACCGGTTTGCAGTACGACTGGAGCCCCATCTGAAACCAATTTATGACACGTTATCGCGTTATTATTTTTTTTTTACTATAAAAGCACACACTTATTGTACTCAAAGTAAGGTGATCGTGAAAAATAGTTTATCGTGGGGAGGGAATTGTAAAATACATCAGTAAAATGTAAGTATATTATAATATACTTCGTTTATTATATGGTGGTTATAAGTTATTCTTATAATTTAATCCTTCATCTTGGCTATAAACTTATACTTATCTAAATTCTACTCTAGGTTTGTACTTAAAGTATTTTTTATTTAACACTAATAAAACATTTAAAAATAGTTATTAAACGACAATGGTCATTTAATTATTTAAAAATGTTGTTTCTACTCTTATACCTACTTTTTTTCACAGCTAAATTCCAACTATTCGAAAATGTTTTTAAAACGTAAGTTTCGGTGAGAGATATTATACAAAAAAATAACAATTACTATCGGAAAACGTAATTTTTTATGTGTGCAAATGATGTAGGTGCATAAATCTCGATTTTTTCAATGTACTCCATTTCCGTCATTAATTCGTTCGCAGATACATCGAAAGTTTAGAACATAGACAAAGTTGTAAACAACACGTCCGTACAATAATCGTTATACCTGTAACCTATAATATTATTTGCAAGTTCAAAGTCGTATAGTTCATTAATATTTACTATGGTAAAACCATTGGTTTTATAATATTAATTAAAACCGATGGCATTACACCACTAGACAGTGGCGTGCCTTGTTGTAAGTAAAGTGTGGCTTGAGTGATCAAGAGTAAATATTTTTAAGTTTAAGTTATCAATATTTTAGTTATAATGTTATGATATCTGACAAATGACGATTATACAGTGAATTTATTATTTTGATTTATTGTTATAATCGTGTTATGACCATGGACATATAAGTGTAGATGATGTGATACTACACAAAAGCCAAAGTCACAGACAGTGATTATAAGTTATGAGTGTTATGACTTATGAGTGTATGACTAACCGCTTATCGACAGATAATTAATAAAGAATTGAAATAGAAATAAATCATACGTTTAGCAGTTCAAGTTTAGTTTTATTAGTTTTAAGACAAGAGTATTTTACGAGTATGTTATATTAGAGCCTTTTTATTTATTTTTTAAGTGATTTTTGGACATTATTAAATATTTTGTAAACTTTTTTATTTATTTATTTTTTTATTCTTATGTTTTACAAACTTATACATTTTTTTTCAGGAAAAAAAATATTGAAAAGTCGTTTTTGTGAATTTATAATAGATCAATTATTGACTCTAAAATTAAAACTAACAAAAGTACACGCAAAATGTTGAACATTGTAAATTTACTATGTCAAACTTAAAAGAATATCAAACTTATATTAATTGTTGTCTCCGTCTTATAAATATGTAACATAGCAAATTTGCACCCAGAAGTTCACATTTAGTTTCATTAGCTTCAATATTAGAGTAAAATAATCTACTATGAAACTTTATGATGGGATTTTTTTTTTTGTCATTAATATACGAATACAATTATTTTTACACAACATTATAATAAATATTTTGTGTTTTGATAGCCATCAGTATAACTATAATTAGAGTTATTACTTCTTATTTTGTATTGTCGAAGAGAGAGACTAGCCCATCCCTAAGTGAAATCGTCACTGAAATCAAGGTGTTTAATACTTTAGGGTAGTGGTGACCAATCTTATTTTACCAAGGGCCATAAAAAAATTAAAAATTCTCGGTGGGCCAAGATTTAATCTTTTTCTTTGAATTTTATTGAATATTACGTTTTACTTTAGACACATTTTAATGTAGGTATACTGATAAATTTAATTATTTATTATATATTGAATATAAATATTAAGTATTAATTAATAATTTTATAAACATATTTTTAGAATATTTTTATTTATTTAATTTTAATTACTTTGGCGGGCTGTACTTGGTCACCACTATCCACTGCTTTAGGGTAACATTCATATAATAACTTATTATGTCAAAAATATTTTAAAGGTTTTTAAGTATTTGGAAATATTGCAAAACAAAAAGATACATGGTTTTTTCTTATAAAAATGGTAAAAATAAAATCCCCTTTCAAAAATAAATTCTAGTTGTGACGTTGTAATTAGTAATTATTCGTATTGTCTACCCTATTGGCTAAATAGCATATATTATGTACAACATATACTGCACAGTGAAATCTATAAATACTGGAAACTTGATCACTGAAAATTTTCCGATGTTCAGTTTGTGCTCAAAAAACCGTCCGCTATTTAGAATAGTCCGTTAGGAGAGGTTTCATTGTAAAAATATCGATATAAATGTAATAAAATAAATAATAATTTGAAAATAAAAGGAATATAATAAGCACTAGCGTAAAACTGTTGGAGTTCTAAAGTCAAGAGTCAATACTTTTAACTTATTTAAGATTAGCTTTGTTTATAACAGAAAATATACCATATTTAACCTATTTCAGGTTAAATGTTAATGATTAAATGATTTGAAAATTATATTAACAATAAAAAGTTATCAAAAATTCAAAAAAAATAATATTAAAAATTATTTGAAAGTATAGTAAGTACAAGTGCAATTATTTATTTTGATATATCTATATATTATTCTAACATATTTATTATTTATGTTAGCCAGACATCTGATGTATGTGAAATATAATAGTTTCAGTTTTAGGTGCAGGCTTTTATGATCGACGAATCACGCTCTGAAAATGTATCGGGCGAAAGGCGTGTCAAGTAATAATTTTATATGTAGGTACTTAACAAATAACTCTAAAAAACAAGACTTCAACAGTCAGTATAATATTATGTGTATGTAAAAAAATATTTATTATAATAAATAGGTGCGATTAACAGTCGTAGCGACTGTTGGTATCAATCCACATAAAAACAATAAATATTATAATCATTGGTAATAATAATTAATAATGGTAATAAAGAATAATAATAATAATAAAGAGATCAGTATCATTATTCAGTGGTTTTATGGAGGTAGAAGATAGAGTACCTATAATCTACATAGTTAGTACATACCTACATATATGGCACGGGTGGTACACTCTTGCACTGTGCAGTCGATTAATTTTCTCCCGGAAGTAGGTACACGCGCATATGAATATAATATATATACACACACACACACGTGTATAATATAATAAATTAAATACTTATACGGAAACTTAAATTATAATTATTGTTTTTGTACAAGTGCGAATTAATGTGTTATTAATATCTATGTGTCTCGATATAGTATAGAGTAAATTGCAAATTGGGCATGATAATGTTACAATTCAAGTTTAAAAAGTTTAGTGGAACAATTATTTAGGTATTAATATTTAGACTGAAAACAGTTTTAATAACTGTGTAATTTTGTACTTTGTACAAAATGTGTATGTAGCTAATACTTATAATGCTATTTTAATAGTTATGTACGGCTTATAAGTAAGGACTTCCAACTTGTTATATTTATATATTGTATAAAAACTTGGCTATAGTGTATTCAATGTCTGGACGAAAAAGACTTTTCATTCGAAAATTTTATAAGCCGGTATTACTTAATTATAAGATAATAACATATGAGACTTATTTGTGAAAACCAATAATCCCATGATAGTTTTTGCGACTTTCGTGCAAATCTGGTAAAAAATGCGAAAATCCACGTGTGTTTTAAAGAATAATAATATACACGGATTATGAATAAATAGTGACTTAAATATTGCGTTGTATAGATGATTGAACGAACGGTCACACAAGTTCCGATGGATACTTAATGCGGGAAAGAGTGAGGCTCAGAGACTTGACATACATGTATACAACATATAATATTAAAATATAAGTGAAGTAAACCGTCGGTTCACTCTTCAAATTTTACTGAGAATAAATGAATATAAAATATCATATTATAATCTTTACGATTACACCTAATCTTTTTCATGTGTCGAATAAAAAATGTTTTGAAAAAACATGAAGTGAAAGAATTAAAATGAATAATCTAATATAATGTTAACCTTAATGGTAACTGTCAATTATAATCAATTAAATTGTTGATAAAAGATAAAATGAAAAAAAAGACAATTCTGTTAAAATATAATGTTATGCTGGTCAAGGGTCTGACCGTTTTTTTGGATTTTAACCCTTCTGTAGTGGTTAATGACTTAGATTATATGGTAAATTATAATTAGTTTATGTGTTTTTTTTTTTTTGAATATGTTATATAGAGTAAATAAATTGTGACCCATATTAATTTCTTATAAAATCTCATATATAATATTTAATGAATAGGCATCTACAATGATATAAATAGTATAATATTGTAAAATACGCTTGTATTATATGTTATGTAAAAATAAACAAAATACGTGTACAAATGGTATAAAAAAAATATAGCGAAAAGTGGTATGATGATAGTGTAGATAATTTTTTTTTTTTTTTGTTAAAAATGTCTATCAATTAGAATTATAGTGTTTGGGGTCTAGACTTGTTAATTGTGCAGTAGTCACAGTAAACACTAGCAAATAAAATAATTATATACAAATTATTCAAATCACTGTAAATATTAAAACTTAATGTTCAAAACTTTGGGATAATAAACTTTTATGTCTTTACTATTATCTAACAACCATTTAAACTATTTAATATTTAAAATGTACCATTATTCAACAATTAATTGCAATATTTTTTATCTTACTATACTTGGATAATGGGTAGGAACTAGAAAGCTATATTTAACAGTTATGTAGTTATGTAAACACCATACGGTTTTTATAAAATACTGTATTATACGAATGAAAAATGAAATACGTTTTTTTTTTCACCATTGGATACCTATATAGTTTTACTTTTAAAAATATATTCTATCTCATAAAGTTTGAAAGTTTTCTTTTAAATTTCAATAACCTGTATAGGCTATAGTTAGATAATATAACTTATTATAACTTCATTTGAAGTATTAAACTTTTCAACTGGGTTATTTATTAAAAGTATTGTATTATTCTTTTTTGTTTAAATCGTTTAAATTCAACTATTCTTATTGATACAATGATACCTAGTATGTAATATTATCATATCAAAATGTTTATTGTGATATGTATTTTTAAAAAGTCTATATGATAAAAAATAAATTAACGTTATAAAAAAGTATGATATATCTATTTAATAATTATTAATTATATTAGCTTACAATAAATTATATTGCATATAGTGGGTAACTAAATCAATTATTGCTATTAGTGCAAGCTATGAATTCGCGCAACGAGAAAAAAACAGCTCTTTTTTTATTCATTTCTTACCATTAAAATAAGAAATATAGTAAATTAAAAAAAAATAACTCGTAATAATATTTACAGGAGTTTAATAACGATTTTTCAAGAGCTTAATTATGATTTTGATGCAAGCCGTTTGTACTCGTACTTATAGAAATATACGATTTTGAATTTGATGAGTAGAATTATATTTTATCATTTTTAGCACAGTTAAATTATGAGGTCTGTGAAAAATAATTTGCATAGAATCAAGTAAAATATTTATTTTTTCGTTTTACTGCAACATTCAAATCCTTTAAATCTATGTTATGTGAATTATGGAAAACAAAAATAGTCTTTGTATATTTTAATGGTGTAGTCACGATATAAGTATCTGGTAGGTACATACGTGCTATTTTTTGAAAACATGTGTTATAGTGACAATAGTGCAATACCTATACCTGAAAACTGTGTTGCAGGTCCTATAACAACATTGTACATACACGCATTTGGAGAGTACAATAATATTTTTATTTAGACTGGAGCTAGTCCACATACATCTTGTCATTTTGAAAAAAATTAACCGTGTGAACGTCATAATTGTTGAAAAATTTCGTTTCGACATGAAGGCAATGGTTCAAACAATAATAGTAATAAAAAATCTTCAATATTGACCCATTTTAAATGATACGCTTAGCGACTAATTGTATGCTAAACTACTAAACATTAACTATTAGCGCAATGTACCTACGAAGGTTAGGCCACCGGCGGCGTTGATCTCAATGGATTACGTATAACGTGTCTCGAAAACAAATTGCGGATGACATATTTTTTGTTATTCGCGGTTTGCGGAAAACACTATATTTATCATATATTACGTACGTATATACTGTATATTGCAGTCTACCTAGCTAGTCCACACGACGGAACGGGAGGATCGAAAGAAAACGAAAAACTTCACACGCGTAGGCACGTCTGTGTCTATGGAATAATAAACTATAATATGTCGTTTTAAATATCATCATTTGTCACAGGTTCACAGCTGCTACGTCCAGATTCGAGTAGTTTTAAATTTTCGTATAATATGTTGCACAATCGTAACCAAGTCAAAATCGATTTCATAAAAATTGAAATCGCTAGCAAGAGAGCCAGCGCGTAAATACAGATAATGTTTTTGACTTTAAGTCTGATAATAAGTCAATTCACTCGTGTAATAAAGCTAACGGACATAAGGTAAGTTTTGCCGTACTACAAATTCTCATGTCGCAGGAGGATCAGAGAAATCTAGTATTAAACTATTTGTCTCCACTATAAAACGATGTGGGCACTTTCTATAGAACACATTTTTAAAGTGTGTTTACAGTTTATAGTAGGTATAATAAATAATCACAGTGTGAATAGAGGATAGGTGAAATTATAATTAACTATCACGTTTAACGCGACATTTAAAACTGTATTATGAATTAACATTCTAAACGTACGTCGACACTGTGACAATAATTCAAATTCCTGAAACAAGACCGGGAATTTATAGAAAAAAAACAATAATGACCGTCTTTGAGAAATTATTGTGGAAATATTCCCGGAGGCGCATCGCTAACCATGGGCGTCCGTAGAAGTATAAACCGTGGGGGTAGAGAAAGGCAAAGTCAAAATCATAAGACTATACGTCATGATGATATTTAAGCCGTGCGAGTAGGCAATAAAACAATTAACATTCAATATTGACTAAAACAGCGAGGGGGGGGGAGCGAGCCATGGCCCTTCCCGGCCGACACCCGCGGGCGCCCTCGTGACGCTGACTTGGACGAATTACTAACTAAGCGCGCGTGTTATACTGACCCATCCGCCGTTGTAGTGTATCCAAGCGGCCAGATCGTCCTCGATCACTTCGCCGACGGCCTCGATCAGTTCCGGCAGCTGATCGGCACGGCCGCGACGCGCACAGTCGACCGCCAGCCCGGCGGCCACGCATATGAGCGACACGACTTTGGCCCACGTGACCTGGGCCCCGGCCCGGAACAGTTCCCGGGACACGGACACCAGGACGACGGAAGCGGTGACCGCGTTTCTCCTGTACGCCGGCTGGTGCCGCCGCCGGAACAGGCGCTGCGGCGAAACGGCCGAGTCGGTCGCCGGCGGGTTGCCGGCCGCGGACGCAGCCGCGGTGGCGGCCGCGGTCTCGGCGGCCACGGCTCCGGCCGCGTACAGTTTCGGGTCGAGCCGCTCCAGCTGGAGTCCGACTCGGAGCACGGCGGGGAACACGTCGCGGCGCACGCCGTCGTTGTGGTCGGCGCCGGCCGCCATCGCCTGCAGCGGCGGTATGAAGAAGCTGCTGCTCGCGCCGCCGCCGCCACCGCTTCCACCGTCCACCGGAGCCGCCGGGTTGGCGGCCGCGCTGGCCGCGCGCAACGCTCCGGCGCACTTTTTCGTGTACGCGCCGGCTCGCTTCAGCTTCCACCGGATGTACTGCGCGCACAGCGCCTTGCCCTGTCGCGCGATCTGTTCCGTCGGCACGGCCGTCCGCCAGCCGATGGTGTGCGACAGTTTCCGGGACACGACGTCGCTGACGTTGCTGAACCGCCGGCGGGCTGTGGCCACGGTGAGCGACGGCCCGCCGCCGAAGTCGACGCCGCCCAGTTCGGAGTGCAGACTGTGCGACTGCAACACCGCCGGGAAGCTGAACTTGCGCCTGGGCACGGCGGAAGCCGTCGTCCTGCCCACACCGTTGTTGTTGTTGTTCGTGTTTGAGGAGTTGTTGTTGTTGTTGTTGAAGTTGGCAGCCGCGCATGAAGACATGACGAGACCACCTTCGGACATACGCCGCGCTTCATTACACCTGTGTACGACACGTACAAACGATATTATTATTATTATTATTAATTTTTTTATTTATTTTTTTTTTTTTTTTGTTACATCGTTATAATAATATTATGCAATTCTGTTGAACGTTTTTTTTTTTTTTTTTTATATAAATGGATTTTATTCGTCAAACGAGTGAGTAGATTAAAACGTTTACCGTTTTAGTGCACTTATAAATGAACATGGACACATTTTTTCCTCTCAGTATTTGTCGAGAAAAATTCATTTTCGAAAACAAGTTTTGTATGTATTGCGTGAAATAATCGAACGTCTCGATTGTATAATAAAAATTAAACGCTATAATTTTAGTACAAATTATCATGTCATGTTATGTATACGTCCATTTTTTTCTTTTTAAATTTTAAGTGGATACTCTAAACTACAACTCTATTAAGCGTTTTATGAGAACAAATTTGCTGCCAGGAGCAGTCGTTACTTTTATTATTATAGCCCAATCTAAACTGCAGAACGCCACTGAAAACTATCCACATTATCCACATGCACACATTTCATATAAGTATAATGATTGTTGTAAACCCAACACAATATAAATTGGTATCAAACGTATTACGTGTAATCCCGTTAATTGTCGATCAACAAATAAATTCGATCGATATAATTTTGTCGTTTAGTTATGGTCGCGACGCGGTTATCCTATCTCCCCACATCGTCTTGTATTTTGTGCAGACACTATAAAATATACAATACGCTTGCCGTTGTACTAATAAAAACGAATAAACTCAATTTCGATTGTGTGTCATGACGTCTCAGCGTCGGATCTGAAAAACAAACATTATATTGTTTTTCTACATCTACTGTTTATATTTCTATAGTATTCACTAATGCGTTGTACGCCGCTTTTAGTAGAAATCGGTATTATGGATTTTAGATTTATTTTATTAAAAAATATAGATGTTTTAAACCATCTATGTCAATCTTTTACAGTGTAATGATTTTTTGATATTTTTTTTTTGATTTTTTGCCATATTTAAAATTACATAATATATTTATTAATTATTGCTTGGGTGTTTTGGTTTGTTAAAAAACTTATAATGCATATCTTACAATCTGTATACTATGTATATAATATCTATATAGGGCTGATGGTATGTAATGTAATTTATTTTTATATACATAATTGATAATATTATACTACGCTATTATGGATTAAATTCCGAGTTTCTAAATGTTTTGTCTTTTTGAACTAAAATAATATAAAACATTATATTTTATGTCATTCACGTTCAGCTGACAGTTTTCGGTTTAATGTCATGCCCATATCAATTATTGTATCACCGTATAACGTGTAACATAAGAATTAAAATAATGATACGCTCCATATTTTATGCAAGGATTTAGCTAATATAATTAATCATTTTTCCGAGTAATACGTATTGAAGTGTTGACAACACAGCTTAAAGGTGTTTAGTTTATTTTTAGTCCTTTGTCACGTTTTTTAACTAAAATAAACTATACCTAATATTATACGCATGTCACGTGTTATAAGATATTATAAAATTTTAAATTAAGAACTTCATTAACGACATATTATCACGACGATATCCGTAGCCGAAAATGTCACAAGTGTGTACCTATTATTATATTTTACAGAATATTATCCACTACGACCGACGACCGGTAGTATAATACGGTTCAAAACTTCATTATTTTACGTAATCTATAGTTATAATAATGATGTATAGTTTAGTCGTATAGTCGTGTCTTGTAGTGTTTTCGCGTGCTTAATAAAAAACATTTAATTTACTCGTACCTTATAGGCAATTATTATATGGTTGTTAATGTAATACACTACATACGACTGTACCTAATAGTAATTAGTAGGTAAACATAATAATTATTGATAAAATGTTAATAATATTATATTTGAGTGGCGACAGGCATAGATTATACGGAAATCTGAACTATTTTATAATATTTCCATAGTTAGAACTACGTGGATTAACATCAACACCTGTCGGTCTTAAGTTGATTCATTTTTATTAACAGGAAAAATATGTAAACGTAAAAAAAAATATTTTGGTCGAAAGATTATCGATTTTGTAAATAAAAGTATATCATATGTACTATGGTACTCGTACAAAAACAAAGCGATAAAAGTTTAGTAAGTTTTAACCGATAAAAATAAAAACATCTACAATAAAAACTAAAAATACAAAAGGTTATATTAAAATAATTATTTAAAAATTTAAAGTTACATTATTACATAGTATAGGTTTAAATGTCTATTTATTTATTTAAATAAGCCTATTTAAAAGTACCCATATTGTAAATAATAACATTTTTACACATTGATAATTTTTTTTTTTTCGTTTTCCGAAACGAACTATTCAGAGATAGCCAAATCTGAATTATTAGATTACATTATACATACCATTATTAATTTATTAATAAGCATTTATGAATTTGTATTCATGCTTTATAATTTTTAATTGATGAACTAAAACAAGACTATATAGAATATTAAATGTTGAACAATTTTATGTTCTTCGAGTAACAAGATAAAATATTAATTAATTTGTAAGTTGTAGTTTTATGTTCTATAATAACGATAAATAGATGTCTAAAAATGGATATCGATAACATAAAAAAATTCCATGGTGATGAAAAATATCTATCAATTTTCAATTTTGTGGAATAGAAAAAAATGATCATTTATATTCTGTAAAACGGTAAAAAATGTATTATTTGTAATGTAAATACTTTTCATGAAGTGGAGATCTGTGATTCACGAATCATGGAGTACCATATGTCTATATATACGTATGCATGTATAATATACATTGTATATATTATATATATAATAAATATGTAGATACAAGCTGTATATTATCTGACTTCAATTATAAATATACAGCACTCGGTGTATTTCGGTTTTAACTAAGATACTTTAGTTCACGGGCATTACGATGTTAGTAGGTATACTTAATTTTGTGAAAAAAATTAATTTGACCGATGTGGACATCTATTATAGATTAGATATTACCAGTGACATGGTGTGGAATCGTCAGTGGTGTAAACAATCACTAAAAATAATGCTTACCTCTTTGATAAAACGCATGAATCTATGTGCAGAAGTTAAGTATAATATTGTTCTTTTTTGTTTATTACATTCACAAATGGTATAAAATTAACATCTTTATTATGATCATCACTCATTATAAAAGAATTAGAAATATAAATATTATTCACAATTGTTCAAATAATTGATTTTAATTACTAAATAAAAAATATCGACTATTGAGTATTAATAGTTTGAACTTAGAAGTCAATGAGTAACGATGGCTGATGACAGTCTCAGTGTTGTATCAACGCAGTGGAGTAAATATCTGGTCATGTAACACATTTGAAAATTGCTTATATGTTAATCCTACTGACCACCACCCCTTAAATTATTCCATATACACACTATTCCAATGCAATTACTTTTATACTTTAAACTGTAATGGTCTCATATACAAAATAGGAAAGGGAATTGAAATCGCTTACACATACGTGAAATTTCACATAAAATATAAGAAAATGCATTGATTGTGTACTGGAAGTTCAGGGGATATTTTACCGAGTAGGTATTCTAGGTTTGTTGTTTCTCTGACAACCGAAGTCAACGATGTTGTTTTTAGATTACCAAAAAATAATAAAAATACATAAAAAATTAATAGTATATTATATGAGTACCATCAATAAAATGTAATAATATATAATTTTATATTGTTAGAACTTAATGATGACTTAAATTAAATTTTAATTTAATAATTTAAAAATAAACCAATAACGTTTTACAACTGAAATAAAATTGAAAGCAGCGTTTACACTGCTTACATGCACATCATGCCACTGGATACTAGGATTGGTATATTTCTGTATAATAACTTTATTAATTAATTGGTTTTGGTGTTTCTCCATCCGCAAAACTGAAGGATTTCAAAATACGGCACTTGTAATTATTGTTATAATATAATGTTGTTGATACGAAAAAACTTCTTACGTATGGTTTTGAGATTTTGGTATCTCTAGATTCAAAAAAAAATAGGGCGTTATTATGATGAAATCTCCTATGTGCTATTTTTACTGTAAAATTAATAAAAAATAATAAACAAATCCTCCTATGTGTTGTCTACTATAAATCATTTATGAAATATCACTTATATTATTAAAAATTTGATCAAAATTATAATGGAAAAAAAAGATAAAATAATTAGAGCAAAAATTCGATTTCAAACTCAGAAATTTTTACAGTGCACCATTTTCTATGTTCGATACAAAATTTAATGATTTGCAATCAATAAAGTCTGTCATAGAAAAAGAGTATCACTCTTTTTATAACAATTTACCACGTTCTAAAGATACAAAAAAAAAAAAAATAAATAAATACAAGTCTTTAAAAAATATATTGTATTATAAAGTTCTATCTAAAGTAAATTTGATAATATTTTGTTATTTATTTTATTACGAAGACTGATAAAATTGTAATATTTTATCTTTTTTTTTTTTTTTTTTTTTGTTATAATGTTATACTTTTTTTAATCAGTTAGAAAGCAGTTATTAATTATGAGCAATTTGTTTTTTTCCTAAAAAACCATGTTTTTACACGTGGGAGGTTTTTACGTGTCGATGACGAAATTATATTGCTTTAATGGCACGTATTAACAAAAATATAAAAAAAAAATTGTATGTCAGAGTCAATCATCGAATGTACTTCAGGCAATATTAAATTTTTCTAGTATTTCCAAAACAAACTTTTGAAATTTTTGTTAATATTGGTCGAGTATTTTTGTATTGTATAAATATGTCATAATGTAATAAGTTATGACTCATAACAGTCATAACCATTAACCATAATATATACACATATTATATTTTATATACTAATATATATGCGTGTGTTTAAATGTAGTAGTGTATGTGTAATTTCTGTATAAAAATATTACGTACCTTTAATTTATAAAAAGTTATAAC